ATGTTCTATATCTAGAACCAGTCTTTGGAATAGTTGGGTTTTGCTGCCAATCATCTTGGGGATGATTTGTCATCCATCTCTCTCTTCAGCAGGAATAGATAGCGCCATATCATTTGATTGGTAGAGGCTGCTTGGAGGGCTAAATAGAGAAAAATTCCTATACTATATTTGGGCTCCACCAAATGTGTACATATATGATCTGAATATGGGAACTGTGTCCTAAACCTCCACTGGAAAACAGTGCAGTATAGTATGCCATTAAGAATTTGGGGTCAGGGGGCGCCTGGGTGGCTCAGTCGGTTAAGCGGCTGCCTTCGGCTCAGGTCATGATCCTGGGGTCCTGGAATCGAGTCCCGCATAGGGCACCTTGCTCAGCAGGGAGCCTGCTTCCCTACCTGCCATTCCCCCTGCTTGTGCTTGCTCTCTGTCTCTCTCACTCTCTCTGTGTCAAATAAATAATAAAAAATCTTAAAAAAAAAAACAAAAAACTGGGGTCAGATAGCCCTGCATTCTGGTTCTTTTGGCTACTTATTAATTCTGTGACCTTGGGCAAATTATTTCTCCTTGTTAGTGAAATGGGGACTTAATAGTACCTACCTCAGTGAATTGGAAGAATTTTAAAGCCACCATTGGCTTTCATCTGGATTATTTTAGTAGTGTTCTAATTCATTTGGATTATTTCAGTAGTCTAGTAGTCTTCTAATTGGTCTACCTGCTTCCGCACTTGTTCTCCTGTAATTTATTTTCACAAGCAGCCATGGTGATACTTTTTAGACATAGAGCATCTTTTCAGTAAATAATACTGAAGTCAGTTGGGTATCTGTGGAAAAAATGTACCTTGACCCCTCTCCCCCCAGCCACCAACCTACACAGAAATCAAATTCAGGTTTAAATGTGAAAGACAAACAATAAAGCTTTCAGAAGAAAACATGGAAAAATAGATTTGTAACTTTGAAATAGGCAGAGATTTTTTTTAAACAGTACACACAACAAAAAATGGACAAATTAGCCAATATTAAAATGAAGAATTTCTGTTTATCAAAAGACACTATTAAGAGAGTGAAAAGGCAACCTACAGAAAATATTTACATAGAGACAATAAAAGGTCTTGTATCAAAAATACATAGAGAACTCCACAAATCAACAAGTAAATGACAGTCCAAAAGTAAAAAAGTGGGCAAAATACTTGAATGGCCATTTCATTGTAAAATACCCAGCTGTCCAATAAACACGAACTCACTGTGATTTACTAGTGGGAACTTGGTTGCCAAAATGTCTGTTCAGTTTCCCACTGCATTAATAAATAAATCCACAACAAAAGAGCTAATTGTTCCACAAATCTCCTTACTAATAAGAATACCAGGAATATCATATAATTTTCTGCACAGGTTTTATTTTACTCTTGGAAATTCTGTTTTCTGAGCGTTCTTTCTCATAACAAGGTAAAAGAATGCATCTCTTTACTTTTATCCTTTGTTCCTAAATCTCTTCACTAAGACCAGACAGTGTATTCTTGATTCCATCTTAGCATGATAGTTGTGCAAGTACAGAGATTGCACTTCTCCCAGATCCTCTCCTCTCTAGGCTAACATCTTGATTCTTTTAGCTGATCTGGTTTCTGGATCCCTCACCATTCAAGGGAAGTTAGATACTAACAGTGACTCAGCCGTGTTCATTTGACATGTATTAAAATTATCTATGTATAGCATTCATATATAATACTTAGTAGAAAACCATAATACAGTAGCCAAAGCTGTTATTTGTCAGACACCTGAGATAAAATAGACTTAGAGACTCATTCTAATTCATGAAAATAGTTCTTGTAAAGAGTAATTTTGAAAGAATTAAAGATAAATGTCTTCTAAATCTCAGACTGAGTATGCATTATATATAAAGAGTAACCAAATTTCTAAGTCCCTCAGAAATAACTAGTTCCTAATAAATGAAAGGTGAAATGAAAATGTATTTACATTTCAAAATCTCATTTGAATAGGTTAAGGATCATTTTAAAAACAAGCTATCAACTTTACATTTCAGAAGAAATTTTTACTCTGTAATGTTTTTAGTTTATGTTAAGTTAGTTTTCATTCTCTCTTTGAATATCCTTGTAAAGGAAGAAATTTAGGAATTTTAATAGACACAGGAAAGTGGGTTTAAAAACTTAGTTTTCTTAAATAACTAGTAACCTCCACACAGATAATTAAAATTGTATTTGAAAGCTGAACTTTACTAAAAATAGCGCTGATATTGATCTCTTACTTTGTTCCCTTTCCTACCTCAACAATTGAAAAAAAAAAAAGTTTCTTACTCTGGTACGGTTGAGTGAAAATAAAACAGACCATGTTGTTTAGCTTTAAGTCTTCATTAGTTATTGAACGTTTCAGGAAGAGGAATTTGCAAGGTAGAAAGGGCCTATTGAGTATTTCAACCAATAATAAGTTGATGGTATATTGTGATGAAAGACAAATATAGTCTTCCCTGCTCAGCGGGAAGCCCACTTCTCCCTCTCCCACTCTCCCTGCTTGTGTTCCTTCTCTCGCTGTGTTTCTCTCTGTCAAATTAATAAAATCTTAAAAAAATAAAAATAAAATAAAATGTTAATATAGTCTCTGTCCTGCCAAGTATATGGGACATGATTTGTTTTTAAAGGTGGTATTTTCTTAAAATTGAAGACACGTTAGGGGCGGCTGGGTGGCTCAGTCGGTTAAGCGTCCAGCTCTTGGTCTCAGCTCAGGTCTTGATCTGAGTCATGAGTTCAAACTCACGCTGGGCTTCTACTTTAGAAAAAAAAAAAAAAGATATGTACTGAGAATGATTTTTAATATCTCATAAACTTGTTTATTTGATGAATAAAGTAATACTTTCAAACCATAAATGTGTGCTGTTCTTTATTTTCCCTCAATAATTTGTCTGCCAGTCCTTCTGATTTGGCATTTCCCTTCAGTCTCTGCCATCTTCTTGGTTCAGCAGGATTTCTGATCCATTTTGATGAGGCACAGGAATAGTGTGTGTGTGTGTCACAATTGTAAAAGTACAATCTTTTCATGGTTTTGTGAGGTTGGATTCCAAGAGTAGAAGGGTAGAGTCCAAAATCCCCACAGATCATCTTGACTCTTATAAGCAGTCTTACTTGTGAAAGATATATCCTTTGAGAGTTACAGGTTTTTTTCCTTTTTATTCCATATGTATATGTTGCAAATTAAAGCTCTTTATGTAGAACATACTGCTTAATGGTGAGACTGTGAGGCAAATAGACCACATTAATTAACCTTTTCTCATAAATATGTATTTTTATGTGTTGTCATGACTTTACCTGAAATATGTGCTTCATCACTAATAGCCAGTAAGTGCTTTTTAAGATATGTGCTATAATGTCCTAATGGGCTCTAAAATTATACCCCGAGTTATTACAGTATTTTCTAATAACTAGCTTTGTTATTACAAGGATTATTTTGTATATCTAAGGAGTCAGTACGTGCCAAATTTAGAGTAGCAAGATTTTACATCAGTTGGCCACTGTGGAATATAGACGTCAATGAAAGTAATCAAATATTAGTGTCTGCATCTCCCAAGTTTTTTTAAATTTTATGCACTCTATCAGTAAATAATTTTGAGCATCCCATCTATGTGTGGAGTTTTAAAAAAATTAATAAACTATACATTTTTATATAATCACAAGCTAATACCTCAATGTATAATATGCAATTATGGAGAAGTTCATATAGCCTCAATAATTTTAAATATTTTGGATAACTGGTCAGATTTAATTAGATTGTTACTGTTTTTACCTTGGAATGGAGAAAAAGAGCTCTGCCATTGTCATTGCTTATCTGTGTCTCCATCTTTGATATTAACATCAAACTGTGATGTTTACAGAAATCTTTTTGAGCAACATATATGTTTGTGAGAGACTGTTTATTAAAACCTATATAATACTTGTAAATTTACTTTACTGAACAATATGTTGAAAAGCAAGTAAGAACTTCTGTCATTATCAGCACTGTGGGACATCTACTCTCCCTCTAGAACTGGCTCATACCATTTCTGACATTTAACCATCCAACTTTGGAACTGCTGGTAATAGTCCCAAAAGGAATTCTTACACATTTCTGGGAATATAAATTGACATGATGACTTCAGAGAATAGTAAAGCAATACAGAGAAAGTTGAAAGTGTGCATCCTTTAATCCAGCAGTTCCACTTCTCTGTGTCTAAAGAAAGTCTTACGTGTATGTATAACACATGTGTGAGGATACATGTTTCACCATTCTTCCTGATAACAAAAAAACTAGGAACAGTCTATTTCTCAGTAGGGGAATAGATCAACTGTAGTTTTATTTGTATAATGGGACATTTTATAGCAGTATAAATGAATGAACTAGGTGTCTATTATTAACATGTATCTCAAAAGCATAATATTGCATGGAAATGCACATTTCAAAGGGTGTAGGTACTATATAATCCCATCTGTTTAAATGTATTAAACACAAACAGTAATGTATATTGTTTGAGTGCATGAATATATATTAAAAGTTTCAAAACATACATGGGAATCATATATACTAACCTTTTGCTAATGGTTATCGTGTGGTCTGGGGTGAGAATTGAGCTGTATCCACACTTGTAATTTCTGAGAGAGAGAAGAGAAGGAGAAATATTCAGTCTGAAGCAAATATGGGAAAACATTATTCTCCCTACTGAGTAGATCGTACTGTTGGCTATATAGATATCTATTCTTTTCCATTCTTTTGAATATTTTTTTGGTTTTTCACAATGGAAAGTATTTAATAAAATACATGCTAGTCTATGAAAGTCAGAATTTGTTAAGATTAGAATGATAGTAAGATTTTTAAATTTTATTTATTGGATTTTATCTTCTTGTTTCTGATTTATTCTCTGTACTTCCAAATCACAATATAATTACTATGAATGGTCTGGAAGTTGAATTGATTGTCAATAAATGAGGATTTTTGTATATAGTTATTTTCTTTGTTTTATAGGGAAAACGTCAGAGAGAGGCTCATTTTCCCTGTACAGCAGAGACACCGGATTACCAGGCTGTCAAGTAAGTTTAATAAATACAAAAGTGAGATCATTTTTAACCCATAAATAAAGGCTTTGATGAGGTAGAAATTTATCCGATTTCACCATTATTTGTGCCTTTAATGTGTGACTAAATGTGGTAAGATTTTAGTTACTAAACATATTTTCTTCTCCCTCTGCTTAAAATGGTTTCTCTTCCCCAATTCACCAGACTTGTCTTTCTCTATCATCAAAGATTTTCATAACTCAACTCCATTTTAACTGGAAGCAAAGTAATAATTACCTTCCTACCCCTTACCAAAATTCTTATATCATTTCTGAAAATGATTTTTGCATATTTCCTCATAAAAAGAACAGAGCTGCTGATATATTACGTGAAGAACATACAATTGCTTTGTGTGGCTTTTCTATCCTGTAATGTTAAACTTACTGATGGTCTAAGTATTTTCATTTCAGTCCTACACTCTAACCAATTCTTTAGGCTTCCAAAAGTCTCTTTGACTTGGAAACATCATTTCAATTCTTCCATATTCCGTAGCATGTTATATTTTTACTAATGGCCATCTTCTCTGCCTTTTCCCCCATATCCTGAACACTCAGTTCACCTCTAGATTCCCATCAGAATCAAGCCAAAAAGAATAGAAAGGAAGAATGTATACAATTTGTTTTCTGCTGTCTACATGCCTTTCATGAGGTCTGCCCTAATTTTAGACATGGGCATGTGAGCCAATTTTAATTCTCATTCTAACGGTACTACTCCATTTAATATATATCCTGTAATTGTGCCATTCAGAGTCAGAAGACCTAGGTTCAAATCCCATCTTTACAAATTACTGACCGACGGTCCTAAGACAAGTCATTTCCCATCTCTGCATTGATTTCCTCATTTGAAAAATAGAATTAGCAGTTTTGCTTCTACTTTATAGGTCTCTGAAGGTTAAGTTCCATGTACTTGTGAAAGCATTTTACAAAATAAATCCACATTTAATTTTTTTTCCATTCATATAACCTACAAAACAAAAGCTGTTTTGTTTTGGGGTTTGTTTGGGTTTTTTTGCATTATTTATTCAAGTCATTATATTCACAGTATCATTGGAAAAGGTCATTATTATTATTCCATGAAATGCCCCTTATTGAATCTCTTGGAGTTCTCACTTGGCTTTGGGAAACGAGAGAAAATCCTTAGCACAACCCTATCACAGGCCAGTAACTCATAACTCAAGCAATTCTTTCCTCCTTTATTCTCACCATCCTCTGTACATAGATTGGGAAGTGTGTGCATGTAGGGAGCACACATGGATAAATGCCAGAGCAGAGGATGAGTTGAAACAGTGCCCAATAGTGGTACTGTAATAGGGTAACTTGCAATGATTTTCTTTGGTATGTTAAATCATCCTTGCATTCCTGAGATAAACTTCACAGAAGCTATTTTGAATCCTTAATATTATTTTTAAGAAACCAAAAGGTTTGAGAGCCACTGGTCTAATGTTAACACTATTGCTAAACTTGAGGGAAAAATGATTGTAAGCTCTTAGAAACTACAGCTGCATCTAATATATCAGTTAATGCTTATATTAATGAGTTCCCACTTACATTTTTTATACTCCCTTCGCAAAGGTATTGTTATTTAGTTAGGATCAGTGGTAAGCTCTATTTATATAATTCTCAAGTTTTGAAAAGACAAATCTTAACAGTTTTTCAAAGATTAATATGTGTTTATACCAGAGTTAACTCCTTTCTTCTCATGATTTTTGTTTTTTTAATTCCAGTATAATTAACATACAGTGTTATATTAGTTTGAGATGTACAATACTAGATTTAATTCTCATATCAGAAAACATTTATTTTAAACCTAGATACAGGGGTGCCTGGGTGGCTCAGTCGTTAAGCGTCTGCCTTCAGCTCAGGTCATGATCCCAGGGTCCTGGGATCGAGCCCCACGTCTGGCTCCTTGCTCAGTGGGAAGCCTGCTTCTCCCTCTCCCAGTTCCCCTGCTTGTGTTCCCTCTCTCGCTGTGTCTCTCTCTGTCAAATAAATAAATAAAATCTTAAAAAAAAAATAAACCTAGATACATAACACTGTAATAACAGTTACTACCAATTACTGAGAACTGAGCCGGGCGTTGAATTAAACATGATTACATTTAATCCTTTTAACACCCATTTTTCAGATTGGAAAATGGATGCTCTCCAGAGGTATTAAGTAACATGCTCAAGGGCATGCATCTAGCAAGTGGTAAACCTTCTAAACACAGGGTTGATGCTTTTAACTATGTTGTAACTATACCACAGCATAACAGTCTCAGGTTCCTAGTCTATGCCCTTACTACCCTTTCATTTTAATTTCTTTGGTTGAGGAGGGACCTGGGAATTTATGTATATATATATTTTGGGGGGGTGGATTTATATTTTAAACAAGTGCCCCAGATGATGCTAATTCACATGGACTGGGGATTATACTTTGAGAAACCCAGTGCTTCTCTATATGTCAAATGTAAGCATCTACAGAGTATAAAAAAGGAAGAAACTGTAAGATCACTGTTTAACAATTGTGTATAACATTTTGGAGAGATCAGGCAGGCCTTTGGAAAAGAGAAACAACATTACCGGGATGTATTAAATGTAAAATAACAACATTGCTATATACAAGAAATGTAAAGGTATTCAAGTGAGGGAAAGATTTATTTGTAAAGAATTCACAAAACCAATGCCTGAGCCCCAAAGAGGAAGCCCAAAATTCAGCACAGAGGAGAGATTTTACTGCAGCAAAGACAAATGGCATCAGTGAAGATAGGAGGGCTCTTAAAACAAGTAAAAGAATTCCTCACTGTGAAAGGAACAATGGCCTTGCTATTTATTATTGTTACTTAGCTCTCACTATGCTGCAGTTGCTAGACAAAATTATAATGGATGACACCAGCTGGTTTGAAGCCTAAATAGTAAACTCAGGATATTCAAGAGTTAAAAAAGATGTATCACTCTTATTCAAAGAAAAACCTGTATTCCGGACAGTATTTGTTAGCAGGGGTCAGAGAAGACAATACACTAAAACAAAAATTGGCTGCCATTTTGTCTTACTTATTCACAAGTGACATAAAAATCTTAACCACACAATGATAATAGAAGGAAATGTAAACAGTGACTGCAAAATTATATCCAAACACCACTTTGAAACCATTTTTCTTCAACATAATTCCCAAAGGAACATTAACTCTCCTATTAACGTACATAAAATGCTGCTGACATTCTACAAAATTCAGTCTAATTTAATAATGCCTGATGGGCCTTGCTTCATGTTAAGATGATGTAATAATATGTTGCTAAATGAGTCTCCTCATATTACTTATGTGGCAATCCCATAACTGATGAGCCATTAAAAGGAAACTGGTGTAGTGGTATTACTGGAAACACTGATGGATCATTCTGCAATTGAATTTTTTTAATTGATTCAACAGAGAACATAGAAGCCAACATCTTTATTAACTATAGGTATAATACTTCACCATGATATGAAAAATCCTTTTATCATTACAACAGTTTTTCACTGATACCTGTTAAACAAGTATATATTCAAATAGTTTATATAAGTTTTTCTCCAAGTGTTCAAACCCAGAAGAGTCAGGGTCTTGGTTTTTTTTCAGAGATTTAAGTTTCATCAGCATTCAGATATTATATGCTTTAGAAAATGACAACTTTAAACTCAGGTAGCACTTAGTTATTTGGAAATTTACCCATACCATTTGCTTCTTAACCATCCTCTTTTCCCATTATAGCCAGTCTCACTATATACAGACATTTGATAATGATAAAATTATAAAAGAGTCAATACTTCAGGAATATATAACAATGATAAGTGATATATAATGATAACAACTTTAGGTATATAACCTACGAGCTTTAAAATAAATGGAGCAAATATTGATAGAATTAAAGAGAGAAGTAAATACAAAATTATAGTTAAATGTTTGAATACCTCTCCTAACAACTGACAAAATAACTAGACAAAAAATTTAGTTCATTTACTATCAACTACCTTGACCTCATTGATATTTATAAAACTCTGTTTCCAACAAATGAAGAATATACATTCATTTTGAGGGTATATGTTCTATTCAACAGGATTGAATCATGTGCTAATCCCTAAAACTAGTGTCAATAAATTGAAAAGGTTTGAAATCATACAGCATATTGTCTGACCAGAAGAGAATTAAATTAGGAGTTAGATACTTAGATACTTAGGAAAACACCAATATTTGAAAAATAAACAACACATGTGTAAAATAATCTGTGGTTTTAAAAAATTTTAAATTTTAAAAAATTAGGGAATTCTGAGTTATAGTGAAATATATAACAAAATTTGTCAGTGCAGCTAAAACAGTGCCTAGAAGAAAAGGTATAGCTTTAAATGCTTGTATTAAAAAAAAAAGATCTGAAGGGGGCGCCTGGGTGGCTCAGATGGTTGGGCGTCTGCCTTCAGCTCAGGTCATGACCCCAGGGTCCTGGGATCGAGCCCCAAATCGGGCTCCCTGCTCAGCAGGAGGCCTGCTTCTCCCTCTCCTACTCCCCCTGCTGTGTTCCCTCTCTCGCTGTGTATCTCTCTGTCAAATGAATAAATAAAATCTTTAAAAAAAAAAAAAAAGATCTGAAGTATACAACCTGAGGTTTTGCCCTAAGAAGCTAGAAAAT